TTTGAAGCTCAGTCAGCGTCTGTTGCTCGGCATTTTCTGCTGCAGTGAACGCGGAGGTCAGAGTGTTAAGTGCAGGGGTGACGTAGTCCACCTCAGCCGGAAACCAAGTTGCATTCTTAGCCAAAGTCAAGAATCAAGACCCTCGGAATATGGAAGCCAGGAAGAGAGTCCAATTAAAACATGGGTTGGAGAAAGGAAGCCCATGAGTGCTGATGGTTGCTGGACACCCTGTAGCAATAAGTGCAACACCGTTCTGAGAATTCTTGCCAGGAAATCCAGACGGTTTTCATCCCAGAAAATATTACAAAAGGAAAGGGGTGATATCTCTTGGTTCAAGTTTAAGGCAGGCGTTTACACCATTCATCCAGTTCCTCCTGCAACTCTGATTTTTGTCAGCTTTACTTCTCGCAGATGCCATGAGGGACCCAAAACCCTGACCCTAAGCTCAGATGATAGTTTTTGGAGAGGAGTTAGGGCGTTTTTTGATTGTAGCGCTTGTAACCCATTTGTGTCCTTATGGGGTTTTGCGGGTGTTTCAGAAAGGGGGACAATTAGGGCCTCATCGCCCGGGCCTGAATCGCTATAGAGGCTGTCCCTTACTCCCTTAACACTAAAGTCCGGGAGAGATTTCAAGGTTTTGTTGTAAGCTCACGCCAAACACCATATGCTAATTATGAAAGCCCTCCCCACAATACCCCTTAAAGCAACCGTTATAGGACCCCTTACAAGGAACCCTATTCTAGGTTCTTTGGCCCCTAAATTTACCCAATTGGACCGGTTGCCAAGGACATGTGTTGCTGAGGCGCCAGGGCACCGTGCTCTTTCACACAGACCCTTTGGCTCACTAGGGCTTCTTTTGGTTTGAGCATTTCTATGGTGGAAGTTTGGTGGGTTTGATCCTCCAGGATGCCTTTTTTCAACCTGAATCGGTTTGCTTTTAGGGTTTGAGGGTTTTAGGGCGGCGACACCCATGCCTGGCTGCAGCAGGGATTTGGGGCTGGAGCCCCAAGCCGGTTGGCTGTAGGCTTTGCTCAGGGCTTTGGGCTTCCTGATTTGGTGCTTTAAACTCACAGCCGTTGGAGAGACCGGAGGCTTGGAAGGACGGTAGGTCAGGAGCGTAATCTTAGGTCACTCCGCCTTGCTTCTTCACAGTAGCTGGGGCGGAGGAAGGGGTTGCTGATTAATGTAGGGGCCTAAATAAATACCTATACTATCTGGGGTTCCTTATTGTAATTGTAGTATAATATCTCTTCAAGGGCCTGAGCCTAAGCCTCTCGATCCGTGTATTCCGCCATGTAGGAGTTGCCGAAAAGAAGGTCCAGATTTCACGAGACGTTTGCTAGTATTCAAAAGTTTCAATAGTTCTACTCCCTTTCTGTAGCGTTGCGGCAAGACTGGGAGGCTTCCAGATCGAGGTATGGTTGTGGATGGCCGGTGGGTGGGTTTCGGGCTTTCGGCCCCAGAAGCTGTCAACGGTTTGGGGTTCAGGGGTTAACGCCCTCAAGGCTCATAGTTACATAAGAAGGCTTGAAGATCGGCATGTAGCTTGCCCCTCTTTAAACCGCACGAATCAGGAGTGCAGCCGGCTTCCACGCAGGGCCTCAATGAAAGTTATGTATTTCTGACTGTTCCAGAAACGCGAAGGAATCGGGGCACCCCTTCGATGCAACCTACGGCCTACGGTTTGAAAGGAAACCCCCATACGGATGACCAGCTTGATCCGCATGTTTTGTGGGGTTTCGGGAAGTTTCGCTTTGGTTGCCTATTTCCAAGGACAACATCCTGGAAGCAGCCCGCACAAGGGAGCAGGCACATCTAGAAGCTTCCTTTGTTGTGCCTTTATCTGACAGGGACAAGAAGTGGAGAGCATCTGGGTTCAGGCATGCCAGGAAAAAAGAATGGGTAACAGCCGCAAGTATTCCTTAACAGTAGAAATGGTTGAGAAATCTAGGGCAGGGTTCGCACTGCATGCCAGGAAAGAGTATCATTCTAGTGCCCTGATCGCACCGAAAAACAAATAATATCAACTTTATCCCGGCAGGATTGAATTGTAAGCCCAAAAAAGCCGAGATGCAAAACACGAGAGCGTTGAATGAACACCCTTCATACTCCCAAACTTCACGTGGCCATGGCACCATAAACACCTCCCTGCAAGCAAAACTAAACCCAAATCTCTAAACCCCGAACCCCTAAACCCCTAGACCCTAAACCCATGCCTGCATTTGCGAGTGTGTGAGTCGAAACCCTAAACCCCGAAACCCTAAACCCTAAATGGCAGCACACCCCGCTAGGTCGACCACCTCCTGCACCCAGAGGATGTGGCCCGCCATTGCACAGATGCGACCTGGACTGGCTTTACTCCTAGGGATTTAGTCGTGGTGCGGTTTGCACGGCTGACAGATTTCTAAGTCCGAGAGGGAGAGAGGGAGGGGGAGAGAGAGAGAGATAGATAGATATACATATATATATATATAGAGAGAGAGAGAGAGAGCAGCAAGAGAGAGAGAGAGAGAGAGAGCGAGTGAGCGAGAGCCGGGCATTCGGCGGTGACAACAGCAACCATCGTCGTTGTTGTCGCGGATAGACCGTAACAGCACAAATCAAACAAGCGGAACAACCAGAAGAATCCCAACATCCTGAGCCCGATTCGCTGGGATCGTTTCCCACTGCCGCAGGGTGGCGGAATGGAGTTCTGCGGATGGTTCATGTAGGAGTAATAGTAGGAGCAGTCAGAGCAGAAGTAGTACTAGGAGTAGTAGGACTAGGAGTAGGCGCAGGACTAGCTGTGGCAGTGTCAGAAGGAGTAGTGGTTTGGGAGTGATGGCGGATAAGAAGTAGCGTCAAGGTGGTTTTCATCATAAACCCTACGGCGCCCAAGCCTTCTTGTTTGTTCGGTTGTCGTGTTCGTTTGGACTGGTGGTAGTGGTTTTGGTTGCCTAGATATAGCGAAGCCCTGGTCTGTCTCCTGGCTTCCGTCGAAAGGACCTCCAAGCCTTGTTCCAACCTACT